AATCATTGAGCCTATCATTAAAATAACAATAATCCTTTCCTGTTTTGGAGGAATGAGATTGAACTCATTAAAAAGATATAATGCTTTGACATTCTGTGATGAAGGTTGCTATAGTCGTAGCTAATATTAGAAATTTAAATTTCTGCCAGCCAACTTAAGCATTTCTTCTTTAGCAGGGGAGTTGGAAGAAAGAAAATGCATACTGAAAGAATATATGGATTTTTGCCACTTAAAAATAAAGATCGCTTTTCAATTTTTTCAAACAGCATCAGTTTTGAGTGCTGTGAGCTATTAAGCTGCTCAGAAATATTACATTACATTACATCCTTAAGTACTTCTAGTGTTTTGAGAGCTATGCTAATTCTGAGGAAAGGAATTATTTTACCATCTAGTAATAATTTGAGATTTTAGTAATTTTACGATTCTGTTTTAAGACTACACTAAGGCATTTCTAAATATTTTGCCCCCTCCTGCTCCCCAGTCTATAAACAAAACAAACAGAAAGGGGCACCAACTCCAGGATAGAACAGTGGTCTGGACATTGAACTGGGGTATGGGAGACAGGTTCAAGTTCCTTGTCTAAATCACACAGAGCAGAGAACTGAGCCTAGGTTTCCTTTATATCAGATGAGTGACCAGACTTCCAGGTAAATTGCTATTCTCTTTCTCTAACATGAGAAATCTTTCTCAGTGAACATTGCCCTCAAAAAAGTTAGTTTAGACAAATCAGCATTTTCTAACCAAAAAACATAGCTGAAAAATCCCTGATCAGCTCTCATTTCAACTGCATCGCCGCCCATCTACCTGACAACAAGTAGCTGTTTTTCATTGCGCAGGTCTTCAGGAATGCGTTATTTTTAAGTCTGGCTGCAAAGCACGAGTATGGAATATGTCTAGAGAACTCATCAGTTAATCCAAAGCCACCTGCGGTATTTTTTTCCAATAAAGATAATATTGACATATGTGGCTTTATGTCTGGAAGTAAAAGATACCACCCTCCTGAGAGACTTAGTTTTATTTTTTTTATGATGTAAAAATAATATGCAGGATGGTAGATGGCTTCATAGCAACTACAATGCTGCCATTTGTTTGAAACTGCTGTCATTATTTTAATATAGATATATGAATGGGGCTGGCAAACTCCAAGAGTTAATTTAGTTGTGCTTTTATTTCAGGGATGTCTATTGTGTGGCCACGTCCAGACTGGCACAGCCATGTGGTGTGTGGTGCTACAGACACATCTGTGTCACCGTGTACTGCATTTCAGCTGTTCCAGCTGTTCTCCACATTGCAAGGAAGCAGTGTGTGGGTGTGGGTGGGGGGGGGGG